CTTAAAGAGTTAAGAGCAAAGGCTTAAAGCGTTGAGGAAAAAAAAAGTAAAGGAAAGGAAAGAGGAAAAAGTCAAGATTTGTAAATTATGATCTTGAGGAGGTAAAAAAGGATTTTGAATATTCAAACCCTGTGAGAATTTCTGTTTTATCCTTCGGATGTGCAACTCATTCATGCTTAAATGCAACTGATTTTCATAGCAGTTTAAAACCCGTCCCGGTGTGTTTGTGACAGAGAAAACCATCGACATATATATATATATATATATATATATATATATACATACATACACAATTCATGTCCATAGACTCCAGTTATAAGTTTCTGATTCTAAATGGGAGGTTCCCACCACCGCCATTTTGACTGTGTCACACATCCCATTACGCTCTGACAATCCAAACATGGGGAAAGAGGTGGAGCTGAGGGTGGGGCTGTTACGGTTGGAACAAATGAACCAATGTAGCTTCTTAGCTAATTCAAGAAGCTAAGAAGGGGCACCAGGGACCAGAGTGTCCCACCCGCACGGCAGACTGGCTTCCGTGCGAGGCTGTAGTCGTGCTGGTCGCCTGTGGAGAGCTAATATGGACCGGGACTGTTCAATTACAAGCAGAGCCTCAGACCGCTGCGTTTGTTGCTGGGCATCGTGGCCTTTTACATCAGCTCATGCTCCACAGGCTGAGATCAACGGGACGTTAGCTACATGCTAACCTGAAGCTAACAGAGTTTTTCAGGTGTTTTTAGCAAAGTGAAGGCACCTCCGGCCTGCTTAGTAACAAAATCATAACTAGGTAAGCTGACCGAGGACATCAGGCTTCGCTGTTCCACTGCAGTCAAAGATCCGCGAGTCCTCCGCTGTGTCGACACGGAGCCGAGTGTCGAGTCATCAACAGCGGACTTGCGGATCTTTGACCACGGTGGAACAGCGAAGCCCGCTAGCCTCCGCTATCCTTGGTCAGATATGTAGCTCTAATTTTTTTACCCAGCAGCCACACCAATACATTATATTTCAACCCATCTTAGACCAAGCGGTGTTATGGTAAACGCACAGAATTTCCTCCATTCAACAAGCAAACTACTAGTGAGAAAAATGCATTTGAGCGACTCAAAAGAGAAGCAGTGTCAACTAAAGAGCTGCAGTGTTTCTGTGGTCTCCCTATGAAATCCACCAATGACCAGTCTGAATACAGCCCTTGCATCAGAGCCGGTTCGGTTACCCAGGGAAACATGAACAGCCAGCCGCCTGCTCTAACAACTGTTCCCGGGCAGGAGACAGGAGAGGCTGGACACCTGCTCAAGGTTCTTATGCAGCCCCACTGACATGTTTAACCAAGCAGTTAAATGACGGCATTTCCCCCCATTTAACCAGCAAAATAAAGTACAGAAATATAATTTTGCATCCTGATAAAACAAAGCAGAAACTGCTTGGATGATCTGTTAGTGCAGTCAGTCAATAACCACAGCCTGCCTTATTTGTCCAATAATTCCATGATTAACATCCAAACACGAACACACAGAGGACACAACTACCGGTAGTTCAGAGTCAAAATAGCCGAAAACATCTATTAATGTGAGGCCCAGGCTGAGGTCTTTCCCGACGCTAGCTCTGAAGTCACGCAGCTCTGATGCTCATTAATTATTCAGCATTTTAAACATTAAATTACACTTGAACAGAATAGTTACAAAAAATTCACCCCCCTCAGAGTTGTCATTAGTGTAAACTAGACCTATTAAACCCAAAAATGTGTTTTTGAACCAGGCTGTAAACAGGTTTATTTCTGTTGTGAAGATGGCATTTTTAACATGGGAGTCAATGAGGATTTGTTCACTTCTGATGCCAGCCCCTAGTGGACAAGTGTGGAACTGCAATTTTTACTGTTTCTGTGTTGGCTTCAAATTTACTACAGAAGAATTATGGGGCTAGGAGAAAACCAGGTGCTTTAGTTTTTATTATGAATAATATTCAACTCTGACTTGAGTCGGAAGCAGGTAGAATGCCTTCTACGAGTCAGGGATGAGGTCCTGCCCCAAGTGGAGGAGTTTAAGTATCTCGTGGAGCCTGAGATTGATAGGCGGGTTGGTGCTGCATCTGTAGTGATGCGGGCATTGTACCGGTCTGTCGTGGTGAAGAGAGAGCTGTGTCAGAAGGCGAAGCTTTCGATTAACCGGTCGATCTACGTTCCTACCCTCACCTATGGTCATGAGCTTTGAGTAGTGACGGAAAGAACGAGATCGCGGATACAAGCGGCCGTAATGAGTTTTCTCTGCAGGGTGGCTGGGCTCTCCCTTAGAGATAAGGTGAGAAGCTCGGTCATCTGGGAGGGGCTCGGAGTAGATTCGCTGCTCCTCCACATCGAGAGGAGCCAGTTGAGGTGGCTCGGGCATCTGGTCCGGATGCCTCCTGGACGCCTCCCTGGTGAGGTTTTCTGGGCACGTCCAACCAAGAGGAGGCCTAAAGGTAGACCCAGGACACGTCGAAGGGATCGTGTCTCTCACCTGGCCAGGGAACGCCTTGGGATTCCCCTGGAAGACCTGGCCCAAGTGGCTGGGGAGAGGGAAGTCTGGGCCTCTCAACTTAGGCTACCGCCCCCACGACCCGTCTCCGGATAAGCTGATGAAAATGGATGGATGGATGGATGGATGGATGGATGGATGGATGGATGGATGGATGGATGGATGGGTGGATGGATGGATTCAACTCTGACACCCCCGTTTGCTTTTCACTGGTGTTTTGGTTCTGTGAAGTAAAAGTGACACTGGCCACATCTCAGCCTAAATAAAGCGGAGTCACATACAGAGCCCGAGGAAGGCTATTTAAATGATCGCAGACACAGCGGCTAAGCTAACTCATTTCTGTTTTGGGTTAGAAACAACTGGAAATGTTCCAAACTGTCTGCTTTGACCGATACTTCTGGCCTCAGACTTCAGGTTTGTAAACTACTGTGTGTAAAAACATTCTGTCCAAAAACTTTAAACATTAGTAATTAAAAAAACAGCTGTGACATAATGTCCATAATTTGTCTTTGGTGACATCACGATGTGCATGTGGGCACTGATAGCTCACAGGTACAGTGAGTAATTTTCTCAATTAACAGATGAATGAGTCTACTTTTCATCATCAGTTTCATTAGAAAAATTAATTATTAACCAACTAAAAATAGAGACACGGTTGTGCTGAGATAATTATAACTAAGTAATGGATGTGTAATTGAACCAGATTACTTGTATCACTGTGAAAACTGGCAGTTCTATCTCTCACACTCTGCAGCCACTTTATTAGGCATACCTACAGGCCCAGGTTTGACCCTCTTTTACCTTCAGAACCATCTTTATTAATGTCATGGGTTCAACAAGGTGCTGAAAACATCCATGAGGTTCTGGTCCATCCTGGCATGACAGCATCATCTCCATCCATGATGAGAGGCTTCCATTCCACCACATCCCAAAAGGTTCTGCACTGGACTGAGATCTGGTGATTGTGGAGGCCGTTGGGAGTCCAGTGAACTCATGGTCATGTTCTAGAAACCAGTTAGAGATGACCTGAGCTTTGTGACACGGTGCATGATCCTGCTGGAAGCAGCATCAGAAGATGGTTAGGGTCAGGCTGCAGCAGAAATCCAGACTCCTCAGTCCAGGAAGGATTTTTCCAGTCACTTCTGGTCCAGTTCTGGTGATCCTGTGTGAATTGTAGCCTCAGGTTCCTGTTCTTAGCTGAAAGGAGAGACACCTGGTGTGGTCTGCTGCTGATGGAGTCCTTCTGAAGCAGCTTCTAAGGTTCTGCAGACCTTGGTAGGAATCCAAAGTTATTGTTGACTTACTGGTTGTTTTTGACAATCATCTAGAACCAGTCTGACCATTCTCCTGTGACCTCAACAAGACAGTTTCATCCACACAACTGCAGCTCCCGAATGCCTCCTGGATGCCTCCCAGGGAAGGTGTTTCAGGTATGTCTGCCAGCAGGAGGCCCCCTGGGTCGCCCGAGGACACAATTGAAGGATTATATATCTCCATGTTGGCCAGGGTATGCCTGAGGATCTTGCAGGTGGAGCCGGTGGAGGTTACCAGGTTTGGGCCTCGCTGCTGGAACTACATGAGCCTGACTCGAGTGAGCAGAAGAAAACGGACACACAGCTGCAGCTGACTGGGTATTTTCTCTTTGTCGCACCGTTCTCTGTAAACCCTAAAGAAGGTTGTGGGCGAAAATCTGGAACTGACAACCACGTTACATTCAAACTCTCCATTTCTTCTCAATGTTGATGCTCAGATTGATCTTCAGCGAGTCTCTTTCGCCAGGTTTACATCTCCAAAGGCATCGAGTTACTGCTGTGTGATTGGCTGAAAAGCAGCGGAGCAGATACACCCAACAGTGGCTGTTGAGGGTTTATTACAGTAAGTTGCTGCATGCATCACACACACACAGAGGGCTGGAGTGGCAGAGTGCCTCCAGACCATCAGTGATGCCACTGCTCATGCATAAAACAATCCTGAGTGGTGGTATGGATCTGCAGCACGATAACACTGAAAACATTTGGAGATTATTATTATTAACAAAATACCAAATATGAGTATTCACCCATAAAACACTCCGTGTTTATCCCACAAATAAACAAACGAGCCAGGTTACATTACTAAATGGCCACATAAAAGATGATGTCAGAGGATAACCCACAGCGGATTGGTTAACGTTAATATTAAGAGATTGAGACAAACTCAAAGGGAGCAACCACAGGTGTCCCCGCCGACAGCAGGCCGGTCAAAGTTAGCTAAATAAACGCTGGAATGACCCCCAGAGAAGACACGCAGTCTGGGTTCATAGTTAGGACCCTCATACACAAGCTTCACGTGTCAGGAGAAGTCTGTCAATAATTCTGTCGAATAGATTTTCACTTAGACAACCAGAGACCGTCAGTCAGCTCTGTCAACCCGCAAACGGAAGCGTGATGACGGCAGGAGAGCACGCGCGGACTTTCTCCGGAGTTCAATTTGACAAAGAGAATAACTTACGCTTCGTGTGGCGGAAACTACAGCATCCTATCCCGGTACCGAAGCGGCTCCGTGCCAGGCTTGGGATCCAGCAGCTCCTCGTTCAACAGCCCGACGGTCAGAGCGACGTGGTGGACGGGAGGCGGTTTGTTTCAGTAGCTCGAGAGCCTGACGTTGATCTGAGCCAATCAGCGTGCAGGAGAACTCTAAGGGGGTGGGTCGATCAAGCGTGGTTGGGAACGTTCTTTGAATGAGGTGACGCAAACAAATATGTCAAGCAATGACGGACGGCGGGGCTTCCGGTGAGCCGTAGTGAAGTGGTAATAAACACAAGATCATTCCGGTTCACATAACCAGCCTCTGATACGCAAATATAACAATTCCAGACGATTTCTGTTTCAGTGCCAGTCTAGTTTTGGAAACTTCATCGCATGTACAAAGTTAAAATGCATCAAAGGACCTTGAAGGCAATTTCCTGTCGTGAATGGCCTCACCTCAGAGAAACAGATTTTGTATCCCAGAGAAGGGGGCGTAATAGGGGGAAAGGTTAGGATGATTCGAAAGGCAAATTTATATTTCTCCATCAGCTCAAGTGCAACTGCACACTTCAGACTTGGGGAGTATTCCAAAGCAATTCCCCGCCAGGACAGCAAAGGGTGTAGCACTTTTCTGGGGGGTATTCTGTCACCGTTGAAGTCACTTCTTTGGTCCATGATGGTGTATTTACTATTGCGTTTATGTATTTCACAGTAACCTCTAAAACCCCATTTCCTGTAATTTCCTAGCACAAATAAAGAGTTTGCTGTGTACCTTTGTACTCTTTCAGTCACCAGGCACCACTTGTGGGAGGGGCCAAATGTGTCAGGTGCAATCGCGCACGCTCGGTCCGGCAGCGCTCCTCCGGGAGAGCGGGCGTGGGGGTGGGGTGGTTGCACACATTCCCCTGCTGTTTCTCACCAGTATCAGCTGATGGAGGGCTCTAGTTTCGTTGCGCTGTTCGTGTCAGTGGACATGGTAGGGTCGGGGGGTGAGGGGGTGGGGGCTGGGCATGACGCTTAGCCTGGCGGGTGGTCAAGCAAAGCCTGGCGAGCCGCCAGGCTTATAAAGCGCTGGCGGGAACCCTGCTGAGCCTATTCAGGAGTTCTGGAGAGGAGGGTCAGATGAATTGTCGAAGCTCAGATTCAGGAGGAGCAATGTGATTTTCGTCCTGGCCGTGGAACACTGGACCAGCTCTATAGCCTTAGGAGGGTCCTGGAGGGTGCGTGTGAGTTCGCCCAACCAATCTACATGCGTTTTGTGGATTTGGAGAAGGGGTTCAACCACGTCCCTTGGAAGACCCTTTGGGGGGGAAATTTGGGAGTATGGGGTACCAAGCCCTATGATACGAGCTGTTAGGTCCCGATATGACAGCTGCCTGAGCTTGGTCCGCATTGCCGACAGTAAGTCAGACTCGCTTCCAGTAAGAGCTGGACTCCACCAAGGCCGCCCTTTGTCACCTATTCTGTTCAGAACTTTTATGGACAAGATGTCTGGACGCTGCCAAGGTTTTGAGGGGATTCGTTTTTGTGGCCCGAGGATCGGGTCTCTGCTTTTTGCAGATCTCCAGCTCTCACTGGAGCAGTTCACAGCAGCTAGGATGAGAATCATCTAAATCCGAGACCATGTCTTAAGTCGGAAAAGGGTAGCATGCCTTCTCCTGCCCCATGTGGAGGAGTTTAAGTATCTCAGGGTCTTGTTCACTAGTGAGGGAAAAATGGAGCGTAAAGCTCTCCATTTACCGGTCAATCTATGCTCACCTATGGTCACGAGCTTTGAGTAGTCACTGAAAGAAAGAGATCTCGGATATAAGAGGCCAAAATGAGTTTTCTCAACAGGTTGGCCTCCCGGCTCAGGCTACTGCCCCCACAACCCAACCTGATAAATGGATGGATGTGTGTAATGAATTAATCTAATATACAAGTTTCACGTTTTGAATAGAATTACTGAAATAAATCAACTTTGTCATGACATTCTAATTTAATTACCAACACCTGCATTTTCATCTCTTGGCGGCTAATGCAGAAGACTCACATTTAGGTTGCATGTTAAACTCAGAGTGACTGATCGTATTTCAAAAAGAACAAGAAAAGACGATTTCTTGGAAGAACTTGGCCTTTAAATCTGTGCAACGATTGTCTAGAGCAGTGGCTCCATAATGCTTCAGCTGCTGATCCACAAAACATAAAAGAAGACTTTTTACATCCACCACTGCTGATGAAGTATAAAACACTGCATCTAAACTAAATAAAGACATGAAAATAGCACAAGCCTGCATCTATTTAAGTATCTCTTGTACTTAGTTAATTTAAGTTTGAGTCAATAGATGAAAATACATAGTATGACTCAAACTTTTAAAGAAGAATTTAGAATTGAAGATATGTCTCTTCGTAGTTCACTTCATCAAATTGCTCTCGGTCCGGAGACCTAGGTTATAGAAAAATTTCCGTGGACCCTCTGGTTTCAAAAAGCAGCTTTCCCTGCC